CAAAACGAGCGGGGTACGTCGCGGTAAAATGCGGTGGGCGTGTCACATCAGAACGCGTCATAACACATCATATCTCGTCATACCGTATGATACCGCAGTAAGATAATGGTATCCGGAATCACTGCCTGGTGGAGCTAATAAAGCGTAACCTCTCATGTACAGCGTTTCAGCTGTCGCCAGAAAACACCATGTTTCGAATCCCGATCACTGCTGAGGGACAATCTTTATTCAATTAAGAATTTAAGTTGTATACTCTTTAGACTTTTAAATTTAAACTGTGTATTACAGCAAGTTAATCATTATACATTAAAAAGTTGGTATATTTTATGAAAGCAAGATTGCTCAGTTGAACAAAAGTAAACAACCTGCCACTTTTATCATAAATATTTTAATTATGCAGAAATATTTTATGCATCAAAGTCTTTACCAAAGATTTTACTAATAGTATTAATAATGAATGACCTTGGACAAGCAGTAAACTCAAAGTATTACCCTGGTCCATATTCTTTGTAACCGTCTTTGTAAACTAAAAGACTTTATTTTTTCATTGACAAAAAGTAACACCACTCATTTCCACTCATTTCGTTGATTCGATCACGCATTCGTTTCCAATCATACAAAGTAAGTCTTGATTCACCATGCCTTTCACATGCTCATAAAAGATATAATTTATGAACATAAACATATTACTGTATGTAAACTGTACCGTATATGGGTGGTCTTGGTATTTTAATGAAAAAATACACACCAGTATTCCATTTCTCCCTAAACATTTTAAGCATCATAGCCTTACAGTACATGTGGTTATTTTGAAACGTTTTTACCTCCTCCTTCTGACCATATTACTGTACGTTTATATACTTTGTGAAAAATTGTTTTAACCTTTACTGCTAATATGCTCGTTATTGGATTAAACAAAAGCATACTTTTAGAATTTGAGTAATAGGGAATATAATATGGATTCACGTATCTAAATAAATTAATAACGGTATAACTATATTTCTATATTGATATGTGTATTGCTGTTTCAGTGCATGTCACATGACTTGCCTTGGTTGCATGACAGCTTAAGTGACTGATTTATAAGCGTGAGGTTGGGTGTTCAAATCCAGCAATCACTATGAGGTTTCTTTTAACAAAAAAACATTTCTTTGTAAAACTAAAATAGCAAATGTTATGGACACTACAGAAAATATTATGGACACTAAAAAATCAGTTTGAACACCATGGGGGCTGTTTTTAATAAGCTTTTTAATAATAGTTTTAGGTACAGGCTGTGAAAAGTTTCACAAGTAGAGGTCTTTAAAATTAGGCTAGGCAAACGATTATTTTAATTCTTGTGTTCCTACTTAGACATTGCATGACTTTTAAAGCCATAAAAACAGGTTTCGATAGTTAATAACCACTTTTTATGCTACAAAAATGGGTGATTTTTCTTCCTTGTGATCAGCTTAGAATCTCTGTATAAGCTGTAAGGTTTTTACTTCTTAATTAAACGTTTAAAATACACGAATTTCATAAAAACAACACATGGATCGAATAGAAAAAATCATATTCTGTTGTCTTCCTGGTATGTAGAACAGATCAGCAGGTCTTTTTTCCCCAGTCAGAGGCTCTGAAAACAGCGTGCTGCCCACTGTGCTGTGTCAGATGGGGAGGTAGCACTAGGAAGGAGAAAGCGCGGAGCTCAGTAATGCACAATGGCTGTAAAGCACCAATTGCGTTCATAACTTAGTGTTTAAAATGAAACAACGTAAATCATTTTCTTTGACATCTAAGTCCCTTAATTATCATTAAGCACAGTTTCTTTTTTGATACCATCGTTTGACAAAGCAGGAACTTATTGTACTTTCTAATGACATTACACATGGAAAGATTACAGATCACAGATTTTAATCGTCTTTAATTTTGTTATACATTTTAGAAAAGTTTCATCTATGCATACACCACAAAACTATTTTGATTGTATTTCTGAATGCTATGTATAAAAAAACTTTCAGCTTACTCAACGATTCTAAGATGGTCACGAGGACTCTTCCGGGCTCTTGTCACTTCTCTCCTTATTCCCTGCTTCTTCTTCTCTGTGTGTTTCATGTGATCTTATATTGTGTGTTTCTTTACTGCTCCTTGATAATCATTAACCCACTACTTACCTAGGTATACTAAAGTAAACTTTACAAATGTTTTTGCTGCAGGGATCCCCCAGGCCTCAGCAAACATCCTCTTGAAGCTAGAAGTGTTTACTTTTCCTAGTGTCACAAACTTTATCTGAAATCTTAGAGACACTTCTCAGTCACCTAAAGCTATAACAATATATACAGTTAACACAGCATGGTACTGTATGGTTTTGAGGCCATTACAGTAAAATATTTTATTTAGAATTGAATTCTTAAATAAAATTATCTGTTTCCTAATTACTTTTTACTTAAATTATTATTAAGACATATAGATTATTTCATTGTGGATGCAAACCTGAAAAAAACATGTTTACAATGGCCTATAACAATAAAATATTTTTTTATACAGCAGAGTAATTTTGCTTTGTGAAAGAGCTCTACTTTTATCTTAATTTAAAATAATAGGTCGATGCTGCACATTGGTTGTGGTTGAGGGGAGTTCCCCATTACTTGTAAGGCACTTTGGGTGGTGTCCAGAAAAGCACTATACAAATGTAAGTTATTATTAATTTAATATTGAACATACTTTAATATATCACATTAATAAAACTTCAATATAATATAAATGCAATATATTAATTATATTTTATTATTGGACAAAGATTTTCCCCAAGGCGCTGGGCATTGGCTAGGATTCAAGCCCAGGTGTTTTGCATAACAGCCAGAATTCTTCCACACAGCTTGTTAAGAATTCACAGCGCCATCTGGCAGTTTTACAAAGTAATGCTGTCCTGCATTCGATTATTTGAAAAAGTAAAATAGGTGTTTTGCATTACCATTGCATTATAATGCGGCATTCTGAATGGCTGGAACTGTATTGAGAAATCTGAAAATGCGTTCCTTCATTTTAGCCAGAATCTCTTTTGTTTTTTTAAAATATATTAGTGCTCTAAACAAAGGGAAATGCAGTGCAAAGAAAGGTGGTCATGTCTAAAACTAAGGCCTATTGTTAGAAGACATATAAGGACCACTGAATTAATTATCTGCAAGAATAAACTAAACATTCTGTAATAATTTCAAAGAATTCCTATATTTTTGCCTATTCAAATGTATACTTTGTCGTAGTATAAAGTAGTGAGACATAATGGGAGAAATCAAATGCTTTCCTTAATTCTCCAGACATATTGAAATAGGAGCAGCAAAAATCATCTCTGAATCTATTATTTGTTCATGTCAATGTGATAAAGTCAATGAAAATAGATGGGAAATGTACCTAAAGGTTATTTGCAACCAGATGAGCCGGCATTCACAAATGTCAAGCTTCGATAGTGAAGTAATATTGAGTTTAGATGTTTAGCTAAAGTGCAGTCCACTTTTATAAAGTGGATGATTCTTTGAACACTAACTTTTCCATCAATGTATATTGTTAATTTATTTCTGAAAGAGGAAAAGTTATGAAACTCTATCTGACAAAAACACCGATTTCAGAGCATTAACTGTAACAAGCAATTAAATATTGGAATAAAGCCATATTCATACAAGGAGCTATGTTGCAGAAAGGAGTCAAATAGATTTTCAGTTCTTCAGTGATGGCTGGTGGCTTGTGGTTTTAGATGTTCTTAAACAAAACACATCAAGGTCTTCAAATAGTTCATTGTGAAGGTAAGACCATAACCAATGACTATCCAATCACAAGAGTTAGAATGATTTTAAAAAAAACACTCAGATGATCAGAATGAAATTGGAATGAAATTCTAATTATTTATTGTTGTTGAATATTTAGTTCTAATTCTCCATCCAAGTGATCAATACATTTTTCATTTTTTCTAATAACACTACTTATTCTTTTAGTAATTAGTTGATTGCTTTGGTTTTGAAGCTTTTACATATTCAGATTTTTTTTCCTTCATCCATAATAAGTATTGCAGTAGTTAAATGATTAAAGCAAAGATCATTGGCACATCATAACAGAATTATATCTAGTTTCATTTTAGATGTTATTGTCCTTCTTTTGATACATCATTGTCAATTTTCCTTTTCTTAGACATTAATCAGATCCACAAATAACACAGTAAAAGCTAGATGTTTATGGAAAAAAAAACAAGCCATCATTGAGTGATCGACTCACTGTAACCAGCAGCCTTGAGCTGCCTCATACAGTAACACTAGTGAATGAGCCTCAGTTGTTTTCAATTATGTGCAAATTTGCTATTCTGACATGTGAAATTCTTATTATTTTAAAAAATAAATTATTCTCTATTTTAAAATTGAGATTTTTATTTCCAGTTCCAGACATTTTGAATCCTAGTCCAATGTCTTCAGGTTTTTGCTCTAGCTGAATTTCAAGTATTTCAATTTTCTATTTGATGGCACATTTTTTAATTTTCTTTCAGATCTTAAAATGTTGAATGTGATTTATAAATTGGCATCAACCGTGTATTAATTAGTGTGCTTTAAAAGTTAAAATAGTGTGTTTTTAAGTTAAAATCTTAATTTCAAGTGCAACCATTTAAGTCACACGAATGTAGGTTGGAAAACTCATTCACTATACATTGTCATTCCCATCTTTGTCTGTTCATGTTAAACTGGTAGTCTTTTAGATGTTTTTTAAAATTTGTAATCACAAATACAAACTCTGGAACATCAGGAAGCATGAGGCACAGACACACAGGGAAAGAGCTTGGGTCAGAGCACAAGGTCAGCCATTGTACAGAGCCCCTGGAGCAGTTGGGGTAAGGGCCTTGCTCTGGGGCCCAACAGAGTAGGAATCCTCTACCGGCCACCGGATTTGAACCAGCAACCTTCCAGCCACAGGTGGATAGGTATTGACATGAAATTCGGTTCTTACCATACAATTAGACATTCACATAATGTGCAGTTTACCTGTCATGTTGCAGTACAGTTGCAGTGGATTCTGAGGGCCACTTCCATCTGTATCTATATAATAAAATCCTGATGAATTGCCCTTGTGCTTGTATGCTTCACACGACTGCTCATAAATAGCTAAAAACATGAAAAGAATATATTTGAACCTGGGAATATCTTGTCTGTAATTCTCATTTAATCTAAACCAATCCAAAAGAAAAAAATCAGACATAATGTATGTGGATATAAAATGTATACTTTCCTTTTATCATTTTCAGCTTTTTGAAGCTGAGCACTTTCAAATGTTTAACAATAACAATATAAACAATTATTTATGATTTCATGCTTCTTAGAGTGAGGAATATTATCTAAATCCTTCATTCTTCCAGCAGTAAAGAGAATCTACAGAATATGTTTACAGTAATGATAAGCATAAATGACAAAAATATATCAGACATAAAAAACGTGTTGCGTATCACACCTAAAGAAAACAATGCATACATGCATGTCCTATTTTTAAAGATTTACTCTTCTACTTTTCTACCTACTGTACAGTTATTTTTACTTTTTATTTGTAAAATTATTGTAAAAATATAAACACACATAATGATTGCATTATTAATATTTTAGCTATAGAGTCTATCTGAAAGGCAGGGCTCTTAAAAAATATAGATTGCATCTTAAATTGTAATATCGCTAGATGCAATTGCTATACTTCATATAGAATATCTCAGTTTTTTATGTATTTCTGCAATACATTTAACTCCCCAACTCTCTTTTTAATTCAATAGAACCTACAATAGTAACCATTACATAATACTTAGGAAAGACATGAGAACATTATAAGTTAACACAATTGTTTCATGACCTCTGCAGGGTCTGTGGGAGACATAAATTCCTCTGTTACCTTTTAAGTGTCTTAAGGCAAGCACTGTAAATAAGTGGTTTTAAGTTCTTTTTAATGCAACAGCAATACAGCATTCAACAGAAAAACAACACATACTAATCAACTACACACTAAAAAATCTTTAATGCCTTTGCTTTGCACAGTTTATATAACAGTTTTGTCTTGAACAGCCAATCTTTTTCCATTTTTTAATGCACTGATAATTTAATAAATAACAGATACTTACGGCTGTGGCATGTTGCTCCAATATATCCAGTATGTGTACAATTGCAGTAGAATGTATTCCAAGATTGTGAGCATTTCCCCCCATGTTCACAATAGTTTGGGGAGCATCTAAATAAAATATCAATAATGTAGGTTTAGAGCTTTGAGGTAAGTCAGATTTTCTCTGTTTAGCTCCATATCTTAAAAATGTGCATGATTCCTGAATAGAAACACTATAGTACTTTGTTGACTGTATTTATTAAACAGTTCACTATTCTTTTAGTTTTTAAAAACAATATCATTTTTATTTCCTGATTAGAACTGATACTAATGCTACCCATATCCATAAAAGCAGAATAACATCAACATTTGATTTTTCCTATTCTCAAAGTTCAGAATACCTACATATGAATAATTGAGTGGTGATTTATTGATCTTTTCTTGCCTTTTATTAGTTTTTTTGTGTAATAAAGGCAACAATTACTTCTGAGGGGCAGTACCGTATAGAAAATAACAGTGATATGGTGTATCAGAGGTAGAGGATGTATATTAAATTACTTGCTGTCCAGGTTAAACAATGTGCTTTCTGTTGAAAATAGAATGGAAATTAATTACAATTGCCTTCAAAAATCAATGTTTATAATTACTTAAGCAATGTGGAATTTAATTTAATTATTTTCATATGTTGCCATTACTTATTTAATAATTTACTTAACCAGAAAGTTTGAGGACAAATTCCCAGTGACAACCTGGAGAGTACCCATTTATACAGTAGCGCATTTAAATGAAGGGTAGCTATTTTAGTCTAGTTCCACTACCATCTCAGCCTTTGATATGGAATAATTTATAGCCTTTATAGCCTTTATAAAGGACTATTGTTCAAAAAGTTGATCTTTTATTTTTGAGAAAAATCATAAAAAAAATTAATCACAAGTTAAACAAAGTATAAAAGTATCAAAGTATCAAAATTAATTAATGGGCAGTATTAATTCACTTTTTTATCTAAACCACCACTCAAATAACCATCCAAATCAATGCCTACATTTTACCCTTCTCTCTAACCCAAACTGGTACAGTAAGTGGAAGAAGTTAGTTTAACATCAATTTGCTGCCTCTTGGACACAGAAAATTCTGGCATTAATTATATTTTTATTTTTAACTATCAATTCTTATTAAATAAAGGAAAATTTAGAATAGTTTGAACATGTAACTTTTGTTTATTGCAGTTTTGGATTTTGAGGGATACTTATTGAAAAATATGATGATCATAAAAATGTTGTTACATAACTGAATATTAATTGTGATAAAATGTAGCTATGCCATTAACAAACACTTAGATTCACAGGTAAAAGACACTTTTGGTACAGCACAAATACAAGTTATTAGACCTACTGTGTTTCCCTTATGGATATTTAACATCCATCACAGTTGTCTAGATAACCGATAGGGTCAAAACAAACAGAAGTTCTTAAAGTTCTGCTCATGTGATCCAAGGTACATTACATCTAAAGCACATGCGAAATGTACTTACCATTTTAACAGCTGACAAGGGAAAGGGGGCAGGTATTGCGTAATATCATCCAGTAACAACTATTTAAGTTAGATTCTTTTTCAAAGTAACTTTGATCTTTTAGCTTAGTCTCTTTGTGTTCATGACAATAATCTTTTTTTCTCTTACTATAAAAAAACACCTTTCTGCTCAGAATTTTAGATCATGTGTTATAACAACTTTTATTTTATATTCAAAATGAAGTATATACAGTATATTACATATGCACAGCCATCATAACATGATTGTGTACTTTGCAGGCAACATATTGTGTAATCTTTGCAGATCAAGTGAATGTATAACGTTGCAGATACAACTTTATTATTAAGAGTATTTTATTTATCTTAGGTAGACATTTGTATTTCACCTAAAATACTTTCACAATTACATTGATGATTATTTTTAGCAAACATGCCACAAAATCTAACAATATAATTTTCTAAAAACAGAAACCTAGTTCTTCTTTTGAACTCTTAACATGTCTTCTAATCATGCCTTCTGATTCCCTCTCTATACAGTGCCTTTACAAAAATATGCACAGTTTTTACATTTGTCGCTTTAAATCTTGCAGTCATGGCACTTTAAAGTAGAAGTTAACATTTTTTAGACACACAGTTCTCTCCACATAGAAAAAAATAGATAATTCATGTCAAAGAAAAACTGAAAAATAATTAATGCCAAACATTACACTTGGCACAAAACCAACACAGCTCATCTCTGACTCAACACCATTCTTAAAGTCAAGCATGGTCATGACAGCATCATGCTACAGTATGGAGATCCTGCTTCTCAGCAGGAATTGAAAATCTTGTTAGGACTGATGAAAAAATGGGCAGAGCAAAATCAGGCAAATACTAGAAGAAATCCTGTTTCTGTCTGATAAATATCTGTCTGAATGGGTGACATTTCACCTGTCAGCAGAAAATTGTTCTGAAGCATAAGGCCAAAGCTAAACTGGAGTGGCTTAAGAATAAAAAAGTGCATATCCTTGAGTGGCCCTCTGAAAGTCCTGACTAGAGTCCTATTGAGAATCTGGGGACTTGAAATTTGCTGTCCATAAGCAACTTGAAAGAGCTTGAGAAAATCAGCAAAGGAGAATGGGCGAAAGCACACCAGGCCATTGTGCAATGTTGTTTTGAAATTTAAACAAAAATAATTGCATGCACTTGAATATATGACTATAGACAACAGACAACAACAGACTCTAAACTGAAGATTGGGGGTAGCTCTCATGAAGCACAAATAGCAGCCAGAATAAAATGTGAGGTACACTTTCATTTCTTTTTACATGCCAAACTCTAATTTTGAAATAATTTTTTTAGTATGGTGATGACCATAAGCACACGTCTGAGTGTGCCAAATTAAACCTTTAAAATGAGAAAATACTACCAAAGCCAAAATAACTTTTCATCCAAACTTCTATATTTCTTGTTTAGACAGAATATATTTTTATCTAGAGCAATCCAAGTGATAAATCATTAAAGTAAAATAAGGTAATATTAACATAGTATCCACACAAGATGCCTGTCACACCCAGTACAACTAGAGGGCGCTCTACTTCTGTCCTGTTCCTAGTTCAATGTGATTATTCATGTCTTTCTAGTGTGTCTTGTTGTGTAGCCTATTTACTTCCTGTATCTGCTCTGCTTTTCGCTCAGCATTGAGGTTTGGTTGTACTGAGACCCGCCTAGCACCAGGTCGCTCCTGTCCATGGCCTGAGGGCATAGGTTTCTATATGACATTTCCTGAACAGCTGAGCCCAGGCTAACCCCTGTCTCTCCGCTACACATAGGGTCTTTTTCGCTCTTCTGCCATTCCACGGTTCATCCCTTCCGACATCTGTGACAATGCCAATCTAAAATATGTCACGAGAATGTCATTTTTTTTCTTTTGTTGTCTGCTTATTTTATGCTACCAAGTTGTTAGCTAAAATATGACCTACTACCTTTGCCTTGGATCCTGTTAACAAACTGCAGCTTGTCCTTTTGTAATTAACCACATCAATGAGACATCAAAGAAAAAACTTCTAATCTTTCTTAAAAAACTGCTTACACCTTCAGTACTGAACCGTTTCCAATTTTCAGTTTGATTTCTCATGTAAAAAGTCTGGAATAGTTAGTGGCAGCTTGATTACAATCTCATCCTCCATTTAATGTGTTCAGATATATACCTTTATTTCATCAAGGTCAGAGTATTGTAACTTCTTACTTACCAGAGTACCTACTAAGGAACTAAATAGGCTAAATAAGCATGTCCAAAATTCTGTTGTTCAAGATATCTTAAACTGCTCTGCATTAGCATATACAGATCCAGACATTCAAAATGAGCGAGGTATGCTGCATTTAAACTTGGTAGACGTGGCGCAATATACCGCATAATACCGCATGTTAATTGAAATATTATAATAGTACCCAGAAGCACCTAATAATGGAGCTAATAAAGCTAAACGACTCATGTACAGCATTTGAGCTGTTGCCAGAAAACGCCCAGTTTCAAATCCCAGACACTGCTGAGGGACAATCTTTTTTCCAATCAAGAATTTAATTGGTATACTGTTTAGAATTTTAATAATTTTACCTGTGTATTACAGAATGCTAAACATTAAAAAGTTGGTATATTTTATAAAAGCAAAATTGCTCAGTTGGACAAAAGTACACAACCTTCCACCTTCTTCATAAATAATTTAATTATGCATAAATATTTTATTCATCAAAATCTTTAACTTGGCAACTTACAGTGGGTTCTAGTTTTAACATGCTTGTTCTAACATTATTAAGCTTATATTCTGTACTTCATAAAAAGTTATAACATTTTATCCTTTCCTTAGAATACATACTAAGAACACCACTTTCTGTTATTGTAAAAATATAAATGTTGTAGTGAGTTAGGTAGATAGATAATACTTTACTAATCCAGTAGAGAAATTGATGAGTTAACACCCCTTGATAGTTATATGAATATGGAATAGTATACCTAAGCAGCTAAAGTATCAAAAGTGGATGTTTTGGAAACATTTATTCGTTCCTTTTTTAAAAAAAAACTTCTATTGTCTTTGTAGTGGTAATGAGCACTGTAATGTAGCGAGCTGCACCCAGGCGGTTCAAAGCACGATCAGAGCATTACTTTTGGTTTATTTCTCATATAGCCAAATGCATAAAAATAGTCCACTATTATAATTTATTGTCAACATGATGTGTCTCTTTCAGTTTTACATCTGAATTGAGAAAATCTATATTTTTTCTTAATCCAAATGTTGTCGGCCAGTAATCAGCCAACAATTTAACTTAATTAAAAAAAATGTTTAAACTGTACTATATAGTACACCGCCTGGAATTGAACCTGGTCTATCAGCGTCATTCAACAGCGAACCAGCTGGATGAATTATAAAACTTGATGGTTTTGTGTTTTTTTCATGGAAATCTTTAAATTAAACGAGAGATAAAATTGTATTTTTTTTTACAATTGCCAGTAATCTGAGAACAGCTTATCAACACAATGGGTAAACAATCTATTTAATTTTTAAAAATGAAATAAAAAATAAGATACAATGACGTGTTCCTGCCTAAAACATTTCATGACT